GACATGGTGGATAGAAGCGGAAATAGAAAGATTTAAAAGGGCTTGCCTGCCTCGAAAAAAAATATCGAGCACAAGCATACGGGAAAAGGAAATCAAATGTGAGACGTAATCGCGGCGAACACCCCTATGAATCGAAGCCGGCACCATATGGCGTACAGCGTGGATAAGACAAATGAAACAAAATAGTAAAAAAAATGCCATCCGCAGAGAGCTCTACAACACCATTAACATGGAGTTAGCAACAAATGTGGAACGTAAAAGCATTAAACGATCGCAACAGGAAGTATTCTTTGTACCAACCAATCGCCGTTGACCTCACCCGAAAAACATCCCCGTCTTTTGGCATCTGAATTGGTTCCATTTAGAATAAGGAGTGAAGTGAGTCCGTAATACAGATCTTCCGCAATCTGTTCTTAAACACCTTACCGTTTTCCGATCTGAGCAACTCGGGAGGCAGCTTGTCCAGCATCCTGGCCATACGATAAAAATAGGAGTTAAACATAATCGAATAGAATCTCTTTTGAATTTTCAAGTAGCTCAAGCCAAAGCTCCCTGATCTTTCACTACAGGGTCTAAAAACCCAGTATTTGCTAGGTTTTAGCCTCGTTTCTCTTCTGAGGATCCGAAAACAAAGTGTGAGGTCATTGAGTAACCTCCTGTCTTTGAGGCTCAATAGTCCTAACCATTTTAGCGCTCCTCATACTTTGGCACGCTATTCGGTTTTGTTTTCGGGTGTACTCTAAGGTACACCAGTCTTGTGAAAGTCTGCTGTACCTTTTCCACCTTGGCTATATCTCTCTTCAAGAAGGGATTCCAAATTTGAGAACAGTAGTTTACGTGTGGTAAAACGTATGCATTATACAGTCGGACCAGCGTTTTGGGTTCTTTCAGTTGAATGTTTCGAAAGATTAGGAAAAGCGCAGCGAATGCTTTTTTAACCACCTGCTCAATCTGTGAAGGAAAATTTCAAGTCATTCTGTAACAAAACTCCAAGATCTTTGAGCTTACTGCAGCCTTCCAGAAAAGCCCCATTGATTTCATACCTCGGCGAAAGTTATCCCCCAAGTGCAAAAGGGAACACTTGTTTAAGTTGATCGTCAAGCCCCAAAAGGCGGCCCACTCCGACATTTTCGCTAGGGATAGCCTAAACCTTATCAGAATGTTATCAGGTGTTGTCACCCACCAAAAGTGTTCCCGTTCTGCCGTGTATATCACCTCTTGAAATCAAGGTCCCACGGTCGCTGCAACCTGCGCTACTAATCTGGTGATCCTCGGCGTCTAAGGCCCCTTATCAAATCATATCAGTGTTATCACCTCCTGTCACCCACCAAAAGTT